ACATGCATTGTCTGTTTTCAAAATACACTTCTGTTTTCACAGGAAATGTACAGTTTGATACAGTCTCAAAGTTTCAAAGTAAAAGCATTACTTCGGTACAACACCACCAACTGATGTGTTTTTTCCTTCAACAACACGCACACGTGGTTACGTTTAGCCAACACACACACACGTGGTTACGTTTAGCCAACACACACAAGTGGTTACGTTTAGCCAACACACACACGGTTACGTTTAGCCAACACACACACGTGGTTACGTTAAGCCAACACACACACGTGGTTACGTTTCGCCAACACACACACGTGGTTACGTTTAGCCAACACACACACGTGGTTATGTTTAGCCAACACACACACACACGTGGTTACGTTTAGCCAACACACACACACTTGATTAAGTTTAGCCAACACACACACACACGTGGTTACGTTTAGCCAACACACACACACTTGATTAAGTTTAGCCAACACACACACGTGGTTACGTTAAGCCAACACACACACGTGGTTACGTTTAGCCAACACACACACATGTGGTTACGTTTAGCCAACACACACACGTGGTTACATTTAGCCAACACACACACAAGGTTACATTTAGCCAACACACACACACACGTGGTTATGTTTAGCCAACACACACACGTGATTACATTTAGCCAACACACACATGTGATTACGTTTAGCCAACACACACACACGTGGTTACATTCAGCCAACACACACACGTGGTTGGGTTTAGGAAAAACGAACAGGGTTTGGCTTTACAATCTTACAGGAAGTGAACTGGGGCCTCCTGGGTGAACGTCGGTGGTATTAGAAGCATCTACCTCATGCACCTGCCGTACTCGGATATTCACCTCCTTAACCTTCGTCCTTGTCCTGCTGCATTTCCCTCTGTGTTGTAGATCCTGACAATGTAAATCAATCTGGATTTAAATTCAGGACTTTTACCTGTGATGAAGGTTTTTTTTTTATAGACTCTGAGTTTCTGCTCATAATTTGATTTAATTTAATTTAAGAATGTTACTGACCTCTCCTGTGTGTGTGTGTGGTGTGTGTGTGTGTGTGTGTGTGTGTTGTGTTGACAGAATCAGTGGAGATCATCAGCTGACAGAAAATCAGCTGTTACACAAAATCAAGTCAGTTTGTAAAATTAGGGCGAAGTTGGTGTTTAATCCCTGAGGATTGACTGCAGGCTGGCAGGCAGGCAGTGTGTGTGTGTGTGTGTGTGTAAGAAGGTAAAAATGGTCAACTGGTTTTAAAAAGCAATTAGAGGAATCTGCTTATCAGAGATAATTAAAGTAAATTCAGACTCCTCTTTAATCTGCCTTTTTATTTTCATTTATTTGTTTATTGTGATGACGTCACTGCTGCGCTCCGAGTCCAACCCCAGTGAAACAGAGATTAAAGATTAGAGACGGGAATCACTTAAATGGGCCCAAATAACACTCTGCACTATTATTATTATTATTATTATTCTTGATGATGGTTGTTATGTTAAGGGACTGTTGGTTATTCATAAGAGAGGAGCAGGTGGTTTAAAGATAGAGAGACATGTCAAATCATTTTTGTAAAACTGAGGAGGACTCATGTTTTATATTTTAATGGTTGTATTTTGTTTTTATTTTACTGCAGAATTTTTCAGAGACATGTCTTTAGACCTGCCCACAGGAAGTTGTCACAGTAAACAAATAAATATGATAAAAAGAACCGCGTGCAGGTTTGGAGGCAGACTTTATTTAAATACATCATTTATCAGACAGAAACTGTAGATCAAATAATAATAATAATGATAATAATAATAATAATAATAATAATAATAGGTTTGATAATAATCTTAAAACACGGTAAACAAGGTAAATGTTTCTAAAGTCAACATGCTGTACAAACTCGTTTTATAAATTTCTAATAGAATTTGTGGTAGAATCTTTATTTCGAACATAAATCAAAATAGAACAAAATGTAGGTGATCAATAAGGTAATCAGTCATACAAAATCAAAATCAACAACAATCATAATAACAGAGGTAAATATTTAGCGTTCGAAAAGGAGTAGGTAGAAGTTATGCACTTGTCTTGACCTACCCCTTATTTCAAGTAATTTTGCTACAATTAAATGTAGATTCACAGATGCATATTAGCATGCATGCATACATAATCAAAGGAATACAATCACAAATGCGAGCTGGAATACTTCTGGTTCTGACTACATGTAAGTGATATGAGAAATCCTTGTTGTAATGTGGATTGGATACCCATGGAAGGAAGATACTTCCTATGCCAGCTGTGCTTCACATTCATGCAATCTACTGTTTTTGAACAATCTTTTAAATTTGTTTATAGCACGGCTGTTTTTCATTTCATCTGTACATTCATTCCATGTTTTGACTCCTTTGACTGTGATGCTGTGATATTTGGAATTGGTTCTTACCGGGGGTTTATTGAACATGTCAGATCCTCTCAAGTTATGGTGCTTGTCTCTTGCTTTGAACAAATTCTGAATATTTTGTGGCAATGACTGATTTTTAGCTTTATACATAATCTGTGCAGTTTTGAGGTCGACTAAATCCTTAAATTTGAGTGTTTTTAGTTTGATAAAGAGTGGGTGTGACGGTTCACTGTAGGTGGTTTTGTTTACTATTCTTATCACTCTTTTTTGTAGTGTAAATATTGGTTTGGTGTTGGTACTGTACGTGTCCCCCACACCTCCACACAGTAAGTTATATATGGAAGTATAAATGAGCAGTACAGAAGGTATAATGACTCTTGACACACGAGATCTTTAACTTTGTAAAGGATTGCGACCGATTTTGATATTTTATTTTTAATATAATTAATGAGTGGTTTCCAACATAATTTATTATCAATTATTACTCCAAGAAATTTTATTTCAGATACTCTTTCTATTTCTATATCATTTATTATGAGTTTTTTTGCTTGTGGAGGTTGCACGATTTCCAAATATTATGAATTTAGTTTTGCTTAAGTTCAGTGTTAGTTTATTGTAGTCAAACCAACTCTTTAGTTTTTTTTTTAAACATTTTCCACATCATCCAGAAGCCATTCCAAGTTGTTACCACAGCACAATAAGTTGGTGTCATCTGCAAATAATACTGTTTTCATTATTTTGGAGATTACACATAATATTTCATTGATGTACAATATAAATAGCAATGGTCCCAGAACAGATCCCTGTGGAACCCCACATGTGACATCCTTCAGATTAGACTTGACATTATAAATATGAACATACTGACTTCTGAACATATTGGTCACTTTTCAGGTAACTACTTACCCATGTTAAAGCAACCCCTCTAATTCTATATTTAAATAACTTTTTTGCTGTTTTCATTTTGTCAGGGAAAACTCCAGTTTTTAAAGATAGGTTGCAGATGTGTGTGAACGGTTTCACCACACACTCCAAAATTTGACACACAATCACACAATCAAACACACAATCCAAAATTTCTTTCTCATCTGTTCCCCTTATAAACGTTGAGTTGGTAATACTCTTGGTAGTATTTTAAAAGATTTTTTTCAAAGATTTCTCCACCTTCAGTTTTTGCAATTTCTTTTGCCAAACCATGACCAACGCTGACAAAGAAGTCATTAAAATCATCAGCAATTTGATTAATATTATTTGTAGTGGAATTATTCAGTGCCAGAAAATGATTTGGATATCCTGGTTTTCCAGTTCCATTTTTTTTATTAAGTTGTACTTTCCATGAATTTCTCATGTTATTTTTGTTGTCTTCCAGTAGTTTGCTATAATATTTTTTTTTTACAGCATCTCAGAATTCTAACCAGTTTATTTTTATATTTCTTATAGGAGTGTTCGGCTTCTGCTGTTCTTTTCTTTAAGAATTCTTTATATAATAGATTTTTTTCTTATATGCATTTTGTAGTCCCTTGGTTAGCCATGGTTTATCAGGAGATTTATGTTTGATTACTTTGTTTACTAGTGGACAGTCTTTATTGTAGTTAGGGCCAGAAATCAGCACAATGACCCAATATATCATGCAGAAACTTTAAAATCAGAAATTTTCGTTTGATTTTCAAATTTCTGACGGTCAATGAACACATCACGTGTGACCAACATTTCCTTTAGAAAAAAAAAATTAAATAACAAAACAAACTTGATGTTAAAATATTAATATTTCATCCAAACATAGGACTTTGTTCAACTTTTAACTTTCAAACATCAAAAAGCTAAAAACTGATTTACGGAGGAGGGAAATACAATCAATCAATCAATCAATCAATCAAACAAGTGCCACCTCCTCTGATAAATACACAACAGAGCTTTAAGCTGCTTCATGAACATTTTGTTTCACCATAAATTATTATGATCATTGATATAAAACAATAATTAATATTTCTGTGCGTGAAAAGATTTACTGCAGCTTCAAGATGCAACAAGTGAATCTGAAAATGTGACTCGGCTCCTTAATATAATATAATATAATATAATATAATATAATATTAAATTAATTAAAAAACATAATCTTGATGTTTGTTTTTTGTAATTTATTTTAAATATAAAGCTCATTATTATTATTATTATTATTATTATTATTGTCATCATCAGCCTTCACACAGTTTATTTATCTTCATGTCTTCAGTTTATTTGATTAAAAACTGTCTGTTAAAAAGAGGAAGGACACAGCAGCTGATCAGACATTTATATTTTATTGTTATTTATTGTTCAGCTTCTGTTTTTATCTGTGTGTGTGTGTGTGTGTGTGTGTGTGTGTGTGTGATCAAACATCAACAACATAAATTAAAAAGTCTCCTCGTGTGTCGGCCGACATTAAATCCTGATCGGATTGGAGGGAAATTGGTGGCAATTAATCCTCCGGGATTGAGAGGAGGCACGCGGGACACGAGACACGCCCCCCGCGGCCGCTCTCCCCTCTGATTGGCTGCTGCTGTGACCCCGGAGACTGAGGCCGGATAAATGGAGCCCGCCACCCGGGCCGCCCGGTCTGTCCTTCATCATCCTCACCCTCATCATCCTCAGAGCACCATGACGGGCGGAAGGGACGAGCTGAGCGAAGAGAAGCCCAGAGTCAAGCTGCTGTCTCCGGCCTTCGGGATGGACAAGTCCCGGCTGCACGGCTCCGGGTTCCGCTCCAAAGGCTTCGCCATCACCGACCTGCTGGGTCTGGAGTCCGACCTGCAGGCCCGGCAGGTCCAGGTCCAGCAGCAGCAGCAGCCCGGGGCGGCCCCGGGGTCGGGCCTGTCCGCGGCGGGGACCGGACCCGGGGCGGAGCCTCACGGAGCGGGCGGCGGGCTCGGCGGGTTCTCGTTCCCGGGCGGGTCTCTGCCGCTCGGCCTCGGGTTCCTGTGCAGCCTGGCGGCGCAGCAGCCCTCCGGAGCGCCCTGCTTCCTGCCGGGACACCTGCCGCTGCTGCAGGCCCGGGCCGACAGCCACTACCTGCAGAACCTGGACGCCCAGAGGGACGCTTACTCCGGTACGGCCCGGGTCACTCCTTTATTCTGTTGTTTCCAGGTGTTTCCAGGTGTTTCCAGGTGCAGCCCAACACCTGCCTGATGCTCAAACCGCTTCTCAAAACTAAGAAAAACTTTTTCAGCTTCAGTTCATTTTTAATCTTTTATTTAAACCAAGTTTCGTTTATTTGCGCATTTTTACTTTATTTGTATTAATTAATTTATTAGCTGTGGTTTGAAACATTTTCTTGTTCAGTGAGTTTAAATGAGGCCGAGCCGAGCCGGGCCGAGCCGAGCCGAGCCGGGCCGTGTCTCTGATGGGTCGATCCTGTTTAGTTTAATGTCACATGTGTTTGGTTCCGACAGGCTGTAAAAACAAAAGGCTCTGATCATGTTTTAAACTTTATCTTATCAGACTTTATCATCACACACACACACACACACACACACACACACACAGAGGTGCCTTGCTCACGTTTATAACTGATAATTAAAACAGTGCATTTGCAGGCTGAATGAAAACATCATTAAAATATCTTCAGTTAAAAAAGCAGCAGCTCCGCTCTGCTGCTCGGCTTATTGCGTTTCATTTCGTTTCGTTTCGTTTCGTTTCTACATTTGGTTCATTGCGGGAATTAATATTATTATTATTATTATTGTGATACTAATAATATTAATATCAATAATAATAATTCGTTTATTTATTTATTCAACTGAACTTTTCTTAATGTTTTTCTTTTTGTAAATCAAATGTATTCGTTTATTTAATTTATTCACTTCTGACAGTGTAAAAACTGAAGTCTTTCATTTCGGATTTTTGAATTGTTGAATATTCGTTTGGGTCTTTTTCGTTTTTGTTTGTTTTTAGTTCAACTGAATCTTTTATTTCACTGTTTTTGAACTAATTTAAAATTTTACATTTTCACTGTTTAAGTATTTTTATCTCTCGTTTCTCTGTTGACTCTGAGCCGTTATAAAACTGACCCGTCGCTTCCCCGTGTTCCTGTAAAATAATAATAATGATCGATGATGATGATGATGATGATGATGAGTAACAGACTCTGATAATTGTTTAATGGGATGAACGTGACGTCACTCAGAGCTGTGACATCACAGACACAAACAGATGAAGAGTGTGTATCTTTGTGTTGTGTGTGCAGATGAGGAGTGTCTGTCGGACCGTAATGACTCTAAAAGCTCCGCAAACTCTCAGAAGAGGAAGAAGAGGAGACACAGGTGAGACACACCTCCAGTCTGACGTCACCCACTGTCACTCATACCTGCTCCAAACACAAGGAAGGGAAATTAAATTAATCAATCAATTAAACTGATGCTGGAAACATTTACAGCTCATGTTTCACTGGATCGTTCACGCTCACAAAGCTCAAACTGGACATTCTTAATATTTATTTACATCTTTCATTGAAACTGAATTTATTGTGTTTGATATTTTGTTTCATGCAGTTTAATTTAATGAGCATAAACCAAAATGATTTCATGTCCTCTGACACAACATGTGACATCATGCTTTAATCGTCATCAGGACACAGAGACAGAAATAAACTCAGATTAAAGAGTCAGTCAACAAAAACACAAACTGACTGATAAATATGAAGTGATGGAGCAGTTAAAGACGAAATCACCAGAGAGAAATAAACATTTAAAAAATATTTAATAAACTTTGGTTGTAAATAAAATCACATGAATTCAATTGTTTTTAAAGGTCGAGGCGATAAAATGATTTTAAACTCATCAAAGTGACAGAGCTGAAAACAAGAGCAAAGATTTTTATGGTGTGAGACAGGTGCCTGTCTGTCTGTGTGTCTGTCTGTGTGTCTGTCTGTGTGCCTGTCTGTGTGTCTGTGTGTGTGTCTGTGTGCCTGTCTGTGTGTCTGTGTGCCTGTCTGTGTG